TATCACTGTTTTTATTGTTAGGGTTTTTATTCTTCCAAATGGAATCTTAGCCCCAGGCCACACTGTGTGTGTGCGTCCAGCTAAATGAGGAGGACAGTGTCATACATTAAAAATTAATTGTGTGATTGTTGTGCAACTCATGCTGTTCAAATGACTTTTTAAAGACTTCTGTTTTAAACAGCAGATAATATGAAGGCTCCACATGTTTTATTACATTTCTTTGTATAATTGCCATTAATCGCACAATTTAACGTATTTACCATCGGTTGCATTTTAATAAGCTTCATGCACATTCACACTATATGTGATTATTTGTCCAATCTGGGATTCATCAAATGTATATTCAAATCAATTTTACTTCTATCAGTATTCATCTATTACCAAAAACAATTATTTTCTACTTGATTCCTTCATTTTATTTTCTTTTATTTTTTTATTATTATTTTTTTTTAGCTTTTTCAAACTGATTTCAGTTGATGCAGTAGGACTGTTTATTGAAACTGTTATTAAAATAAAATAAGCTTTACTTATTGAATGTAAGCCTAATGACACAAAATGTTGTTTTTTGTTTGTTTTTTCATAGTGTCATAATATTTTAGCAAACCAAATAAGTAACTGCTGTGCAATCAGGCAGCTCTTATAACTGTCCACTACTGCAAATACAGTCGATAGATATCTCTGCAAAACTTCCCATAGCAGAAGAAGCATTCAGGTTGATTAAAAAACTGCTGTGTTTTCCCAGTCTGCTAGTCATCACACATCTTGTAACTTGGTTCACTTTTCTGTTCACGTTTGGTGGACACCAAACACTACATGTCATCACCACTGTGAGCATGGAGGCGGCAGCATCATCATGTGGGGATGTTTCTTGGCAGCAGGCTCTGGAAGGCTTGTAAAAGGAGATTAAACAGATGCAGCTAAATATAGGCAAGTCCTGGAGGATATGTTAACTAAGTTTTAATAATCGCAGACCATAAAAGCAGATAAATCCCATTTTGCTTTTATCTGCTATGAGGTTATTAAAACTTGGTCCTGTACAGGCAACATTAGTTCATGTGGTGTCTGGAGGACCTGCAGATTGAGGGAGTCTCTGTAAATTGCATTTGTCAACCATTGTAGCTTGGCTTGATTTTCTCTGCAGTAATTGTGAGCATGATCTGAGCTTTTGTTTTCTTTACGTGGTTCTCATTGAGTTGACATGATGTACTTACCCATCAAAAAGAGCAGAAACACATTCTTCTGCATCTTCAGATAAGTTTCTCCTGATGTGTTCAGAGCAAAAGAATATTTTGAGTCAAAGCAGCCATAATGGTGGTTCATTACTGAATTAAAATGTCATGCATGATATAATCCATTGGGCTGGGCAATAATAATAACTTTTGTAGACGCCAGTATCGTGCAATAAAACATGAAATACTTTTTCTGTCTGTCGACTTATGATGTTGTGCTTTTGCTGGCACCACTACAACGTTTGTTATTTTTCCCCCTGCCTTGCATTACGCTTTCAAAGTCAAGGATGTATTATGTTTAACACCAGAAATAGATTCTTTTACCAGACAGAGCAAAAACATTTCCACATATCGTTGTCTTCCTTAAACCAGACAGAAACGTATATATACCTTGGAGACAGAAATATGAAAATGCACAAATGTAGAGAAATACTCTGGTTTTGTGTGTGCAGTATATTTGTGCAAGTTAAATTTAAAATGAACCTACAGAAAGCTGAAATAATTTGGCAAGTACTGATGTTGCCAAACCGAATTGGAAAATGTTTTCTGAAGTTTAAACATGTATGCGTGTGTTCATATTTGTAGTAAATTTGTGACGAGATAATAAAACTTTAATGTGAAACAAGGAGCAAACAGTGATATTCTTCCAAGTCCAGTGTTCTGTTGACCCATTAAGCCATCCTGATCTCCTCCCTTGGTGGTCTTTTGACTCCTTAACAACACTTAACTGCCCAGCACCTATTTAACTACGACCTCTGCAGCAAACACACTGAACTCGGTTGTTTTTTCTGTAGCTTTCTGACACGCAATCAAGCTCGTGTGGAAAAAGAAGTGCACTGTGTGATGTGTTCATTCCACTTTACTCGCTGCCAAGAAACAAGTCAGACTGGTGGAGAAACAAAGACACTGGCACAACGTCCATGGGATCGGAATAATGGCAAACCTCAGCGTTGATTTCTGCTCGTTTCAAAGCATGGATGGTAAGCTACAGTTAGTTATTCTCATTAATTCTGTGTTGAGAGAGAGCACATGCATATAGGACAGCAGAGGAATAAACTTATATTCAACTACGAGAGGTTTGTGTACATTCCAATGACATTTGCATGAGAAGTACATCTTAGAATAACGCAGTCATTCTTCAAAATAAGGGTTGAAAAGAGTCATCTCAACTAGTGGCCCATATATACACTTAACCAAACAACCTACTTTATCTATTGCACTAAATGACTCTAAGTCAAAGAGTTTAGCATGTTTTACAGTGATAACTCTAAATTGGATGTGTCATAGGTGATTTCTTTATCTCACTCTGATAAAAACGTCACTCTAATTGCTTAATTTAACATATTTGTATTCATCACTTCATGCAAAAGCTGAGCAATCCACTGTCACAACATTGTGTTATTGTTAAAAGATTATTTACAGTAAAACCTGTATCAGAATCTGCTTCACATCTGTGCAGAAAAGTTTGTCTCATAACAAGTTTACATGTGTAAGATTAATTCGTCACTGGTCTTCTAAATCTGCTTTTAATTTTTTCGTTAATTTTAGATATCTACCATTGTAGCTCATCATATTCTCACAAAAATACACATACAATTATATCAGTATCAACTCCTGCAGGTGTGTATGTGAGCCTAATTTTAAAAACAACAGGTTTGTAAGCAGTTGCTAGTTTGATTTACACTTTTTCCTTGTTATACTTTACTTTAGATCTTCTGCAAATCCACAACCAAAGCAGAGTAATTATGTATTTCATTATTATCTTACAGTGCCCTCGAGAAGGATCGTGGTCTTGGGAAAAACTGGAGCTGGGAAGAGTAGCCTTGCCAACACAATATTTGGAGAGAATGTGTTTAAGACGAGCGCTTTACCTGTATCCGAAACAAGCGAATGTCAAGCTAAGTCCACAATTGTCAAGGGAAAGCGCGTGACCTGGATTGACACTCCTGGGTTTTTCGACACGGGGAGGAGTGAGGAGGAGATGAAGCCTGCGATAGTGAAGTGCATCACTGAATCCGCTCCCGGTCCTCATATTTTTCTCATTGTGCTTAAAGTAGAGAAATTTACAGCACATGAGAAGGCTGTCATAGAGACTATAAAGCAGTATTTCTCTCAGGAAGCTCTGAAATATGCCACGGTGCTCTTTACTCATGGTGACCAGCTCGATGAGGGAATGGAGATCAACCAGTTTGTTAAACAAAGTCCAGATCTGTGTAGCCTGGTGGAGAGCTGTAGGGGCCAGTGCAACGTCATCGATAACAGATACTGGAAGAACCCCCAGGATGAGTACAGGAGCAACGAGTTCCAGGTGGCAGAGCTGCTCAGCACCATTGACAAGATATTTGAGGCAAACAAAGGAGGATACTACTCCACTGAGATGCTGCAACTAATGAATAAAGAAATGCAGCAAGAGTGCATGAAGCAATCATCTGCAGACGTTTCGCCAGATGAGAGCCTGCGAAAGGCAAAAGCTGCTGTCAATAAAAAATTGTTGCGTCAGGCTTCAGGAGTTACAACAGGTGCTCTGTTGGGTGCGTTTCTTGGTGGGGGGTTGCTGTTAGCGGGTGGTGCCGTACCCACAGCTGGATTAGTACTGGGGGTAATGTTAGGAACAACAGGAGGAATTGCAGCGGGAGCAGACGCAACAAAGGAAAAAGAGGCAGAAGCACCGAAAGCATCCGAAGCTAAGGAACATCAGCAGCAATAGGTTTATTGAATGTGATGCAGCAGCTGAAGTAGAAAGCAGGGTTGGGATGAATCATGAAAATCATCTGTTGACTAGTCAGCAACAAAGTTTAATACGTTCAAATCTAAGCAATTAACCTTCAAGTTGATTTGATTGATTGGTATGATTGATTCCTTATTCTTCAGCTACAGGTTAATAATTGTGCTGCAGCCTGTCAGCCTCTTTCCTGGAAAATGGATCTTAACACTTTTTTCTCTGCAGCAGACTATTTACTGGAAACTAAGAGACTCTTGGAGATTTCCTGATTCTTGAATCTATTACGACTCCCAACCCTAGTAAAATGAAGTCTGAGGCAAAATGCCAAGTTTCTGAGATTCACCAAGTTAATTTCTAAATCCTGGTCTCTTAAATAGGATATTAATCTTATAATAATCTAAAGTTATTATGTAATTGATGGGTGATCAGTTGTAAATACTTTCTAACCTTTACAGTAAGTTATAGCTACAAAGATGCACTTTATTTTCTGTCATGATCTGATACAAAGTACTGCATGTTTCATCAGCTGTATCTGACGTATCTGATGCCTTGTTTTCTTTGTGTAGTGTCATCATATGTAAAGCCTTTGTGTTACCGTCTATATTTAAAGTTCCAGTGGAGTGCAACGATAATAATCTGAGTGTGATCATAATAAATCTGTCACTTTCATGCACCTTCGAGGTCTGTTTCTGTTGACATTTTCTTGTGAAAGAATGAATTATGAATCAATAAAGCAGCAATTTCTTCATGTGGATCCAAGTTGTCTGTTTTTTCATTCACATATTTTCCTCAGCTGAATGGCTTCTAGGTAATAAAGAAGAAGGTCAGGTGCCTTTATCTACTGCTGCAGTTTGTATTATTATTAAAAGACAGTGGAATCTACAGCTACTTTAATTATTATTGAAGGTATTGTTTTTTATTATGCAGATTCCCTGTTTGTTTTCTGTGAAAGCAAAAGCAGTTTCCAACATTTAGGACAATAAAAATAGTTGCAGAGGCAGTGCCACGCTCACATTCCTGTTTTAAACAATAAGCGCTGCTCATGCTGCCAGACTGGTATGATGACTCTGTCACTTATTGAGAAATGGAACAAAGAGTGAGACTAAATCATGAATATAAATGGAGACTTTCAATAAATAATATATATATAATACATAAAAAGTTACTTGCAAACTAGTAGCCTATTGCATAACAAGCACCAAGGTGTTAAAACTTAAAAAAATAAACCCCCGTTTTTCAAAAATATGAAGTTTCTGAGTCACACCTTTTCAACTTTGTCCTGCAAATAGCCATTTGTGGTAGAGTGCTGGTAATATCTGGGCTTCTGTTGCAGAGCTGTGCATTGATGCCTGTTTGATAGACTTGTGTTGATCAGCTTGCAGCCAGGAAACACGTCAGACGAGTAGCAAAAAACACAAGGCGAGTCGGAGCAAGAGAGCAAAAGAGCAAAAGAAAAGACTTGTAGCAGAGACGTCTCGTACAGCGGAAGAATATTTTGTGCAGCGATTTCTTTTTGTGACAGCATGGACGGTAAGTTATGTTTATTTCCTCCAGCCTTACATATTAGGCCAAAGCTATAAACAGAAATTCTGACTTTGTGGCAGTTCAAAAACTCACAGCTACATGGAAATATGCTTTCACTGCAAAGTTACTGATTTGTTTTGCAAATGTTATTTCACTCTGACAAAAAAAAAAGAAGTAATCAACATGAATCGCAACAAGGCTTTGTAGTTTATTAAGCTTTATCTTCATGACACTTCATGATATTTCCTTCCTAGCCTTGTCATTGATTCCTAGAGTTGGTTTAGCTTTTTTATTTTTCAAATGTCTCTGGCAGGTGATTCTGGTAATTAAGAGATATGTCTCACAATGACTAGTTAACAGATTTACCATGTGAGTTGGATGTCGTCCTCAAATGTATTCATACCCTCCTATTAAAGAAGGAAAAAAACAGCTGTCACTGAACTAAGTTGAAATTGACAAAAGTAATAATAAAAAAAAATTTTATGAAAATCATGACATTGCTTTTGAATTGTGGTTCAACAGAAATATTGAAAAATAAAATACAAGCATGATGGGACCCGTAAACTAATATTTTGTAGATTTAGTTGTTGCAGTTTTTTAAAAATTATTCTTTTCAACTACAATTCAGAAGCAAATGTCTCATTTCACTAAATTACAATTTAGTACATTTTTATTTATTATTACTTTTTTCAGTTTCTAGTTATTTGAGTGACTATTGTGAATTTTGCCTTTTCTTTAATGGAAGGGTCTGAATACATTTGAGGACAACTCTATGTAAAGGTGCTGATGTAAGCATGTCACAGCTCTGTTGTCTTGCAGCCACTGACATAAAAATATTTTAAAATGTCTGCTCATTATTCTCAACATTAACTTTTATTGTTTGAAATATTTTTTGTCTAACACAATCAGACCTGTAAGTAATTTGTTAAAGGAGTAAATCACCCCATCTTTTTTGTGACTCAATGTTTTCTGTAATCGAAACATTAATAAGATTTGTGTAGCACAAAAAATACTAGGACCAAAACACTGAAAGGGACAAACACAAATATAGTGATTTGCTGTCATTATTGTTATTTTTTAGTGCCAAACACGAGGAGGATTGTCCTACTGGGAAAAGCTGGAAATGGGAAGAGCAGCTTGGCAAATACCATACTAGGAGAGCCCACATTCAAAGTGAACCATTTCAATGACTTGGAAACATGTCTTTCTCAAAGCGTAACTAAGTCTATCAATGGAAGAAGCCTCATGTTGATTGATACTCCAGGTTTCTTTGGCCCAGACAGGTCTGAGGTGGACATGGAGAAAGACCTTTGGAGTATTGTCATAGAGTGCGCTCCTGGGCTTCATGCCTTCCTGCTTGTGCTCAAACTTGAGAAATTCACAGAGCACGAGCAGGCTGTCATCACGCACATGTGTGAAACTTTCTCTGAAGATGCACTGAATTACACCATAGTCGTCTTCACTCAAGGTGACCAGCTGTCCGAAGGGATGAAAATAGAGGAGTACGTTGATAAAAGTGATGGTTTGCGGGATCTGGTGAAGAAGTGTGGTGGTCGGTGCCACATCTTTGACAGTAAATACTGGAAGAACACCCAGGAGGACGAATACAGAAGCAACCAGTTCCAGGTGGCAGAGCTGCTCAACACCATAGACAAGATAGTGATGGAGAACAATGGCGGCTACTACACCAATGAAATGCTTCAAGCAGTGGAGAAAGAAATTCAAAAAGAGGAAGAGCGCATTCGACGGGCATCTGAAAACTTGTCACAGGATGAGATCAGAAAGCAGGCTAAAGCAAACCTCTTGAAGAAGCAAAATGCATCACGGACATGGCTCAAAGGTTTGGTGGGTTTGGCAGTGATAGTGGGGTTATTTGCAACTACCTCAGCTGTGGTGATCAAATTTATCACTCAAGCAATCCCAGCAGCAATCTCAGAAGCAACCCCAGCAACATTCCCATTAGTAATCCCATTGGCAATCCCAGCAGCAATCCCAGAAGCAATCCCATCAGCATTCCCAGAAGCAATCACATCAGCAATCCCAGAAGCAATCCCAGCAGCAATCCCAACAGCAATTACAGAAGCAATCCCAGCAGCAATCCCAACAGCAATTACAGAAGCAATCCCAGCAGCAATCCCAGCAGCAATCACATCAGCAATTACAGAAGCAATCCCAGCAGCAATCCCAGCAGCAATCCCAGAAGCAATCCCACCAGCAATCACTCCACCAATCCCACCAGTAGAAAAGACATTTGTGAGTATACTGAACAAACTTGCTGCTTTGTTTGAACGGATATACGATCCTTTTAATCCATTTGAATGAAACATTGTCAAATAATAAAACAGCAGACTCCTCAAGAACTGCAGAATCCTTCCCAGCTAATATAAAACTACCGCTGCCTGGTGTAACTATTTGGTCCATTTTGGTGTCTTACTTACAGGAAATGTTTGTATTTTCAATATTGTGCTGGTTTGATGAAAAGTTAACATGTGATTTATGTTGAAAATAAAAAGTAAATGGTGTAAAAGGGAAATAACTACTGTTTAAAACATGGGAATAAATGTGTGTTTCTAACAGTCTCAATGTAATTATCATCTGAAATGTGAGTTTTGTGGTGTTTTAAAAGAACTCAGAGGACACGCTGAGTTCACGCAATGTGTAGAACCCTGTTTAACCTGCATGTGAAGCCTGCTGCACAATAGTTTAACCTTTGCTATAAATGTATTGTGCAATAATTAAACAGCTTGTTTGATCACACGTTCTCTCAGCATTTTCTTTGGAACAATTTATTCATGTTTATTTTTAAGCATTCTATGTTTCATTGTCAATAATTCCAATGACAAAAAGAGACGCAAAATTGATTTTACTTTATTTTCTGTGAGTGTTTGAAAAGCAAAGCTACTTATGAGTGTGTGCAAAGGAAGTAATATAGGAATCCACATTCTTATTTTTTAAAATTTTTGGTTTGGGTAGCTTTGGACATCTAGCGTACTTGATTAGTGTTAAAACTTCTTGCGTAAGGATTTAGGATGCCTCTTCTCCATTTTCTTGGTTGCCAAGGTGACGAGTCCCTCCCTATCTAACAGCAGTGACAACTCCACTACCTTTCTTGAAATTACAGAGATTTTGCATTCACCCAGAGGCAGAGGTATTGCTTCTATCATCACGGGACATTTTAATCACCTTTAGTTCCCTAATCAAAAACAGGTTGTTGTGTAATGTTCCTTAAGACCAGAATAAACTCTGAATGCCTCATACATCAACTAGAAAGAAGTAATCAGGCCACATTTTCAACTCCAAGGTCACATAGTTTCAGTTTTCTGTCTTCTATTTTAATTAGCTGATGTTGCAAAAACATTTCATTTCAGGGTTCGGCCCCATTCACAGACAGATCACTCCACCCTGCTGCAAAGGTGTGGAGCAGTTACGTGACCAGCCTCCCATTTACTTGAGTATTTGTAAGATACAAAGAGTTCGCTTCATCCAAAACACAAACAAACTTCACTCAGTAGTCACTTTACGACTATTAGTTTTAACACACACAACAGTATCAATGCAATAAAGCCAATCTCCATTAAGGTTACTGTTTGTTTAAACTGTTTTGGAGAGCTGTTGATTTATGATCATTTAAAGGCTGCAGCTTGTGGAGTGAAGTGAGACGAAGGTGTTTCCTGTAATTTACCAGTCCTGACTGATATGAATTGGGTGGATAAAGTAATGGAAACCTCATACAGATGTGTAAATATAAAACTCGGTCTGTGATCAACAGAAATTTAAAAAAATGCAGATAGACAACTATGATAGACAAGGTTTAGATTTTTTTTTTAAAAAAAGGTTCCACTTGGCTGCAAGGTGGAGCTGCAAGGCGTCTCGGTGGTTAGCACTGTTGCCTCGCAACAAGAAGGTCGCCGGTTCGCGTTCCAGTGAGGACACCCGAGATCTTCCTGCATGGAGTTTGCATGTTCTCCCCGTGCAGCGTGGGTTCTCTCTGGGTTCACCGGCTTCTTCCCACAGTCCAAAAACATGTTGAGGTTAATTGGTGATTCTAGATTGTCCGTAGGTGTGAATGTGAGTGTGCTTGGTTGTCTGTCTCTAAGTGTAGCCCTGTGATAGACTGGTNCTGCGATGCGACACTCCTCCAACTCAGCCATTGGGTTTTTTGGGTCTCCCGGGCACCATCTTTATCAGGTCGTTCAAGGCTGAAGACGGAGGCTGAGGACGAAGGATGTGTGTCGCAGAATCACTGAAGCTCCTCCTCTGTGCTACTCAGTTCTCTGTTGAAGGGGAACAACTTTGACTCTCAGATTCCGCTGCAGTGGAGGCCCCTGGTGGCCTCAAGCTGTTGGCTCCAGCTCCAGTTAATTATGAAGGAGTTCAACGACAGCAAAAGCAACAGTTTACATCAATCTTTTTGAGCTACAACAACTTTTGATTAAGTCATGTTCAACTTACAAGCTATGCTGAGTTCAAGGAATTTGCCTTTTCATCTTCAAAGAATGACATCTTTTAATTAGCTCCTACTACTTACAAGTACACAGAAAAAAAACAAACTTTTTTTTTAAGTGTAGTAAAATATATCCATAATAAATCTATCATTATACTGAAGTATTCTTTCTTTTCAAAGAAGAGACTGTGTGCAGAGCAGCTCAGCTCACATTGAGCTGCTTATAGAGATGATGATGGAGAAAAATAAAAGCTTAAACGTACACTATAAAATGTGAAAAGTTGATCTTACTTAAACGAATCAAGGAAACCGGTTGCACTCAACAAAAGGTAAGTAAATATAACCATTAGTCTTAAATTCAGTTCACTTCATATCTACTTGTACAGTTTACTTAAAATTTAGCTGTATTTAGTTGATTTTGTGAACTTAAAAATAGCAAGGATAATGAATTTGATCTTTGTGTTCGAGTGCAGTGTATGTAAAGTTGTGTAGAAACTGAATTTAAGACTAATAGTTATATTTACTTACCTTTTTTGAGTGCAACTGGTTTTCTTTGATTCGTTTAAGTAAGATCAACTGTTCACATTTTACAGTGTACGATGCTGAATGTGGTCGTTTCCACAAGTGTAACAAGTCATTTGTATGTAAAAGCAGAGACATGATCAGTCTGTGGAAATAACAAAAGTTATATCCAGACACACATACAGGTGGAGAAATGCAGTTTGACTATTCCACTCGTAGTTCATTGACGTAGGTGGAGCTTTTCATTCTGATATAATGCTGAACAGTTTAATGACACACAATGCATTTAAGTTTATTTTGCAAATAAAACCTGTGATGCTGTCCACAGAGCCTCATCACTACATTAGAGTCTCTAAAGAGATCGACTCCAAAAGGGCGGTAAATAAATTCATTTATTTGGCATTTCAATTATCGCATCATAGTGATTTGTTTAAAACAAAGCTGTTGCAGAGAGCTACTCAGCAATGTTCATTTATATACAATAAGCATGAGAGTTTCACACCAAGATCCTCTGCGGAATACTACGCTTCTTATGGCCCAAAACAATTTCAAACAAAGACCTGCTCGAAAGGTGTGGAACCGAATCTATGGCTACCACACGAATGAGGAGGCACTGGAGGTGGATCGGCCATGTCACCCACCAAGAAGCCTCCATCGTCAAGGCTGCCCTTCACGCCACCCGGCATAATGGGCATGAACTGAAGTGAAGCATGAGAAACAATAATGACCCTTATTTTGTTCTTAAATCGTTGGTTTCTTTCACTTATGCCAGGACTCAGTCTGCCTGCTACGGGCCAGTGATGATCAGGCAGCGTTGTCAAAACATGTTGCCAGAATAACACTTAGTTGCCAAAATAACATTGGCTAACAATGCGTTACATGTCCTTATATGCGTTTAAGAACTTCGTCCAATGCTCTTCTTTTCCCCGAAAACCTCCACCCATTTTCTTCAATACCAGTCAAAGTCTATAGTCAGCATTACTTCTTGCTCGGCACTGAGTAATTTGAGACTTTGTACCTGCGATGCGA